AATGAGTCCTGTCTGATTGGCTGATTCTGCTTCCCTCCTGGAGCCTGATTGGTCTTCTCCTGCAAGCCAATCAATTGTTGCATTCTAGGATCCTTCCTGCCTATTGTTCTAGGATCCAAGCTTAGTACATAACAGTCTGTAATGTTGTACTGATATCTGTAACACACCTGGTCCCCATCCTTTTCACCAATAATATAATGGAGCTGCAACCACCTCTCACAGACAGCTTCTTCTTTTATTTTATTTTACAGCATCTCACATCCATCTTTGAATATATGCCACTTCAAGTTCTTTCCAGCATTCTCTGTTGTTTGTTTGCTGCATCCACATCATAAGCCCTGCTGTTAGTTCTAGGTCATCTACCCACCACACAGGTGATTGTCTCTTTAGTCTTTTAAAATTGTAGGGGCTCAACACTAGCACTGCTTTATTCCACCGACCCGAGTTGTCTCTTGCCAGAAGCCCTGCGTATGTACATTTCAACTTTGCGACCTTTCCTTCTAACGTTTATTCTCTGTCATATCCAATTATTAGTTTCCCTGTCTTTTAATTGCTCATTCCATTGCATGTTGTGCTGTTCTTAAGCTGTTCATGTTTCTTTGTGTCATGGTTCAGCTTACACATTTGTAATCAATTAAATGAAGACAACCTCTTACACCCCAAATATTTTCTCATTAAAAGAAGTTGCACTTGGAGCAGAGGTGAAAAACTGGACTTTGGCTAATATAAGGGAAGAGGCAAGTCAAGATTATATGGTTTTAAAAGGGGGGACAAAAAGAAAGGGGATTTCAGATAGCTGCCTGTTGGCTCAAGCCTCTTTCTGCAAGACAGGATTCAGTAGCAGTTGCTCTGGTTCTTTCAGCAACTTGGGCAGATGGTTCTTTGCCTTGAGTAGTAGATAACAAGCATATAGCAGGGGACTCAGAGATGTTAGGAGGAGGGGCACTTGAGAGCAAAATTCAAACCGCAGAAGGACAATATGCCCCAAACTAATGGGCAATTAGAGCTTGTTGTCCAACACCCTCCAATAAAATGCAGTAGTAAAATATTCCATTAAATACACGTGCCCTACAAGGTATTGCCTCTAATTGTGATGTTCCCAGAATGCTTTGTTGCCTATAGTTTCACATGTGCCTATGGGTTTAATCTTCAGAAGAATTTTAGTGCTTCTGCTGTGTTCAAACTGATTATATAATACTATACAATTAATTCTCTGCTATGCACATATATTGAGCCTATACCTGTAGTATGTTTTGCAGTGTATATTCTATGTATGGATAAAAACTGGTGTAGATGAGTCTGAATCCCTTTGTGTTGGCATATTTTTGTTTGGGTGTGCTTATTCCCACAAGCACTGCAGATATTGGGGAGATGAAAAAGATCATGAGCAGCATGAAGAACACTAGAAAGAATTGGTATTTGTAGGTATCTTGTTTTGTTTTGGTACTTCTACCAAAATAATGCCAAGGTATGTCTGTTCTCCCTTTCACATCTTCTTCTGCTCATCCTTGTGCTATACTCAGTTCCTGATGGACACACACAAACTTAACTCTAGCACTTTCAATATACCGTATTTTTCGCTCTATAACACGCACCAGACCATAACACGCACGTAGTTTTTAGAGGAGGAAAACAAGAAAAAAATATTCTAAACAAAACAGTGGATGTATGATTTTTGTGGTTCATGCTGTGGCCACAGACATGTGATCTGACGGTGAGTTTGGGGTAGCCCAATGCAAAAATCCTGAGGATCCATGTGGATCCATGCTAAAGTCGCCCTAAAGTCGCAGGGGCGCTGGGGGAGTGAACAGGAAGCAGGAGGAGGAGAACAATCCCTCTCACACACAGACACACAGACACACACACACACAGAGTATCAATCCTAAAGTCGCAGGAGAGCGCAGGGGCGCTGGGAGTGGGAAGCAAGAGAAGAAGAACGATCCCCCCCCTCTCTCTCTCTCACACACACAGAGTATCAATCCTAAAGTCTCAGGAGAGCGCAGGGGCGCTGGGAGTGGGAAGCAAGAGAAGGAGAACGATCCCCCCCCTCTCTCTCTCTCTCACACACACACACACACAGTATCAATCCTAAAGTCGCAGGAGAGCGCAGGGGCGCTGGGAGAGTGAAGGGGAAGCAAGAGGAGAACGATGCCTCACACACACACACACAGACACACACACACACAGAGTATCAATCCTAAAGTCGCAGGAGAGCGCAGGGGCGCTGGGAGTGGGAAGCAAGAGAAGGAGAACGATCCCCCCCCTCTCTCACACACACACACACACAGTATCAATCCTAAAGTCGCAGGAGAGTGCAGGGGCGCTGGGAGAGTGAAGGGGAAGCAAGAGGAGAATGATGCCTCACACACACACAGACACAGACAGACACACACACACACACACACACACACAGTATCAATCCTAAAGTCGCAGGAGAGCGCAGGGGCGCTGGGAGTGGGAAGCAAGAGAAGGAGAACGATCCCCCCCCTCTCTCTCTCACACACACAGTATCAATCCTAAAGTCGCAGGAGAGTGCAGGGGCGCTGGGAGAGTGAAGGGGAAGCAAGAGGAGAATGATGCCTCACACACACACAGACACACACACACACACACACACACACACACACAGTATCAATCCTAAAGTCGCAGGAGAGCGCAGGGGCGCTGGGAGTGGGAAGCAAGAGAAGGAGAACGATCCCCCCCCTCTCTCTCTCACACACACACAGTATCAATCCTAAAGTCGCAGGAGAGCGCAGGGGCGCTGGGAGAGTGAAGGGGAAGCAAGAGGAGAACGATGCCTCACACACACACACAGACACACACACACACAGAGTATCAATCCTAAAGTCGCAGGAGAGCGCAGGGGCGCTGGGAGTGGGAAGCAAGAGAAGGAGAATGATCCCCCCCCTCTCTCTCTCTCACACACACACAGTATCAATCCTAAAGTCGCAGGAGAGTGCAGGGGCGCTGGGAGAGTGAAGGGGAAGCAAGAGGAGAACGATGCCTCACACACACACAGACACACACACACACACACACAGAGTATCAATCCTAAAGTCGCAGGGGCGCTGGAAGTAGCAGGGGCGCTGGGAGAGTGAAGGGGAAGCAAGAGAAGGAGAACGATGCCTCACACACAGAGAGACACACAGAGTATCACTCCTAAAGTCGCAGGAGAGCGCTGGGGCGCTGTGAGAGTGAACAGGAAGGAGGAGGAGGAGAACGATAGCTCAAGCACACACACACACACACACACAGCCCCTACAGTGGCTGATCCAAAATCGGACAGCAAAAAACTGCAGGCAGGGACACGGGGTTGTTTTAAAGCAACCAGCCCCGATCTGCTTCTCTCCCTCCTCCCGGCTAGGCTGGCTGAAAAGCTTTGCTGCTACTTAGCAGCTCAGTGGAGAAGAGAGAGGGACATAGAGCACGGGGTTGTTTTAAAGCAACCAACCCCGCTCTGCTTCTCTCCCTCCTGCCCGGCTCGGCTCGCTGACAGGAGCCGCTTACACCCGCTTTGCAGTTTCAAAGAGAGCCACGGACTGCTCACAACTGCAGCGGATTCCCCTGCCATCTGTAGGCATTCGCTCCATAACACGCACAGACATTTCCCCTTACTTTCCAGGAGGAAAAAACTGCGTGTTATAGAGCGAAAAATACGGTAACTTTATACTGTAAATTTAATTAATTAATAACGTTATCTTGTTCTTGATTGTTGTAATGCTCCCCAGGTTCCTACAAGGCCCGTGTCCCTTGGAAGTCATCAGGTCAGACTTCCCTTAAAATCCCGTCTATTGCCACCTACTGACTTGAAGAGAGCAGCAGGATTCTCCCTTTATAATCTTACTCAAGTACATTTACACTAGACACGTGGGATAAGCTATATTATCCGTAGAATCCATCCAGACCAGAATATAGACAGTTAAAAACATGAACACACATTTAAGGAGCATAACACCCTGAACAAATACTCTTTTTATATAGAGATTTTTTAGGATTTTAACTTCCTGACCTAACAGCTATTCTCAGTCTTTTACATATGCTGTATTGCTCTCATCTCATTCTTCCTTTATCTCTCACCATTCTAATATTCACTAACATTTCCAACAGACAGACTATCTGTCACTCACTCTTGACTCCATCCAACATTTTGTTCCACTTTTCTACTGTCAATCATTCTTCCATGCACTCTTCTGTCATAATGATGTTGCTGTTTGTTGTACCCTTTTAGAATCTTGAAGTACCTTCTGGGTTGTTTTCTTTCTATGTTTCGAATCTTACCAAGTTTTGTCATTTTAATTGATTAATGTATCCAGTATTCACTCTTAACTTTCTACAGATTCTACCAAAATGTTGCTTCTTTGCAGCATCGTGAATATATAATTTTATTCTTTGATGGCTTTCTTGCTTCTGCTATTTAAGTCTCTCTACTGCTATCAGTTGTTTGATATTTTCTACTTGTTGTTCAGATTAGTTGCCTCCCGTGTACCATTCTCTTCATTAGCTTTCTGTTTCTTCATTTGTTTTTCACCCTTTCAAATTTCTCCATGGTCACCTTCATCTATATCAGTAACATTTTCTGTTTCTAAATGCTACTCCTCAGAATACACAGAGATACCAGTGCTAAACCTATTATTACCATCCCTCTTTTTTACCTTTGTCCCTTCCGCTTTGCAACTCCCAGTTGTTGTTTGTATACTGCCCTTCGTCCAAAGATGACAGGGTACTTCACAGCATAAAAATACAAAATGAGAACACAAAATACATAACAAAAGCAAAACAAAAACCAACCAATAGCCTTCCTCCCACAAACACATTATTATTATTATTATTATTATTATTATTATTATTATTATTATTTATTACAATTATGGGAATGTCAGATCATCTATCCTTCAACTCTTGTTCTCTGTTTGTTATATTCAGATCCTTCAAGAAACCACATTTGATCAACCTGTTTCTAAGGTGTTTCGTAAATAAATAATGATAGTATAAGAATGAAATCTTGGTACATCAAAATAGCATTTGTTGCTTTTATTACACATTTGCATCATTACAAGGATAATCAGATAATATATTAAAATCCCTACTTTGATTTATATACAAGACATGCTACATCACACTCCAAACTTTTGACACACATTGTATGTTAGGAAAGAAATAATGAGGTAATAAGAGTTTTTAAATGTATGATTTTCACTGTTCCTATAACGCAGCCTTATTCAACTGGTGCCCTTCAGATGTTCTGAGTTTAGCTCTCAGCTCCAGCTAGCATGGCCAATGGTTAGGAGTGATGGGAATTGTGGTCCAAAACATCTGGAGGGCACCAGGTTTGGGAAGGATGTTATAATGCAACATGTGATAAAATAATCTATTCTGGAAACTTACCTCAGCAGAATACTTGAATTCAAGTTTCTGCCATGGACTTTATTTATAAATATAATTGCATAATCACCTTTCAATATGTATACTTGGCAATAATAGTGAAATATGGCAAATACAGTTTTAAGTTTCACATATTCTCTCTCAAAGGTCACAATCTCATGTCCAAGGGTATTTAAATAAGTTCTATATCTATATCCATCATTTGCCTGCAAAATTGGATAGTTCTTTTTGTTGTTGCAATGACTACAGAGCAGGTAATGACTCTAATGGTACAAAATAACTTGAAACCAATAAGCTATCATTTAGGTGCAAAGGTATTAGTGTTGGTTACAAAAGTATACAGTGAACATGTAACATCTAAGATGCTTCTAAAATGACCAGATGTTTAACCGAAAAATGCTGAAACTGTTTTGTTTATGAGAAATATAGCTGTGTGGTCGGTTATGGATAATGCCTAGTGCATTAATAGTGAATATAACAACCTGGACTGTTTGTCAGATCTGTTTGTCCTGTACAAAATGATTCAGGACTGTTTGTCCTGTACAAAATGATTCATTGTTAAGTTCTAAGAGTGCTTTGAGACCCAAGAAAAATAGGGGATTCTATTAGTGCTGGGCACAGTGTGGACACTTCAAAGCAGACACTACGCTCTCTCAATATCTAAAGAAGTTTAAATTAGGAACTTTCTAATATACCTGTACTGGCTACATAGTTTCAAAGGATATTATTTCCTGTGTCAAATGAATTTATTATTTTTTAAAAGTCTTGCTGTACAGTTTTTTAATATGTCCAGTATTTGAGAATATATAAAACATACAAAAATATTCAGATGATGTGGCAGTATTTTTAGCATCTCAGCTTATCTACAGTCCATTTTACCTGATAACTCTTTAGAAAAAACCTCTTAAGAAAAAAGGAAAAAAACATTTTGTGGTGACATTCTTAAAATCTTGTTATTTTGGTTCTGGAACGATTCTTGGAAAATACAATATACAAGTCCTCTGATTAATAGCGGTCCATGTACAATATATTACATTCTTTGCTGGTGCAAAGATGTGTTCTGGATAGCACACACAACTGTTATATAAAAGGCTTGAGAAGTTCCTTTTAGTGGAACGTGTTGGGATTAGGTCTGATCATCATGATAACCTTCTTCAGTGAGTATGAGCCTCCACGGAACTCAGCCCAATAGACACCATCTTGGTATCGACTTCGGTAGTGTCCTCCTCTGTACCAAACACCATTGAGATTCGAGTGTGCACATGCATTGTACCACCATCCCCCTTTCTGGTAATGAGCACAGTTACCTGTAATAGAAAGGAGAATATCGCTCTATGAATAAATGGATGAGTTAAACTTTGTGCTTTTCCATTTGCAAGGTTCTTGATGCTTCTGTCTCTCGTCAGAACAAAACCTCAGGACATGCAGAGAACTTGGCAGAGGAGGCAAGATTGGTGTCAACTACAAATATGGTTCACTACAAAGCCAAGTCAAAAACTGGGGCTCCTTGGTGTGTGGCTTGTATTCCCTGGTTGGGCTTTACTGCCCTTGGCAGTTTCAAGTGCATCAGCTCCACCAGTTGCTTGTTGGTATGTTGCAACCTGATTGGCTACTGGAACTACTTAGCAAGCTTCTAGGAAGCCTAAATTAGGAGTGGACAGAAGGTAAATCTTTATCTGCTTGTAGATCTCCGGGTAATTGAGAAAGCTTTCTTACTCCCAGTTGTTTAACAATAGAGAAGTGAAATGACTCCCCCACCCCAGTTATACTGCTGAAATGAAGAAAGCTTGGGACAACCAAGCTTTGGGATTCTTGTGTGGAAGGACTGTGAGTGCCACCCAGTTTCAGTGACGCAGAACAAATTCCTGGGCTCACAGTTCTTTAATTCTAAGTGTATGTCTTTTCCCACTACGATTTGCTTGGTGGGCCCCAGGGTTTCCAAGAAAAACAAAATAGATCCTGCAAGCCCATCTGCCCATCTCTGGCTTGAGCCTCTTAGGCATTATAATATCTGGATAGGTCTCCAGGCTGTTACATCTCCTGCCATGCCTGCTCTACCCGCAGTTCCTTTTGGCTGTTTTGTCTCACCCACTTTCCTGCCTATTTTGCTACTTCTAGAAATATAGAAGCATGTCAGATGGACTGCTTGCAGAATGCCTGGGAACTCCAGACAAGGATTTGGTTAAGAACTTATATCTGTAGTTGTACATTTGGTATGTTCCTGACATCCAGAATAATATATTTTTTTCAATTTATTTAATATATAAAAATAAAATGTTTTCATATACATTTTTATGTGCCTTCACATAGAGTTCATAGCTCATTTTAATTTTTCGTACCTGTGTATACATCATGGTCTCTGTCCAGTGTAGTGAATTGCTTCCCATTGTGCCATGTGAAGGAGTCTCCAGCATTGCCATTGTATCGGCCCAGTCGCAACTTGTAGTATTCACTTTCTGGCTCAAGTCGGAAACTGGCATATTCAGCAAACACTTTCCGGCCTGACCAGTCTTCCATGGTTATTAACAATTTGTAGTTGCCTTGATTTGTCAGCCAATAAATATTTTCTAAGCCCAACCAGTACTCTCCATCGATATTACCGAATCCTTGCTGTAGAAGAAAGAAAATAAAAAAGAAAATATGAATTAGCACTTGGCATTGATCTTTTGTAACACTCATACGGTGTACTTAGCTGCAGTGAGATTGTGATGTTTCTGGGCTGACAATCTGAAAATCACCATCTGGCTCTGAACTGTGGGTCATTTTCCAAACTAAGTGGCTCACTGGCTTCCTGTGGATGCGTGCCTACCTCTTTGAATTCATGCCCTGCTGCTTCTTTCTATGTCAGTTAAAAAATAGTCAAGGAAGATTCCTCCCTCTTTTGGTCCTTGAAAATCTAAGCACACTTCACACTTCATCTTTATATCATGGGAGTCTTATTTCTGATGGCCTATTCCCAGGTTGCCTGGTGGTGTGTATATCTTGGAACCCAATGTGTAGGGCCAGTACTGTTGTTCTTTTCCTCCCAAACATTGTCCTGCCAAGAAAGGGGGATAAAGTTTGGGAGGCAAGGAACCGTGTCATTTGCACCAAAGACAGGGCTCCAAGATGCTCACTCACACACTGACATTGATTATTCTCTACTGGAGTGACATGAGAAAAAGTCTCAGGGAACCAACCATTAGAATAAGGTGTGAATTGCGCCTCTGAGCTTATCCTTATATTAAACTATGTGTTTGAGCCCTCAAGGGTCTTGGGCCTCAAACCAAGTTCTGCAATGGATGGCTTGCCCTTGCACTTTTTCTGGGAAGCTATTATCAGGCACAGAGGACCTTTTTGCTGCTCCCTGCAGTCCAGCTCAAATAGAATTATAGGATTGGAACTTCTTATTTTTTCCTTTTCCATATAAATTAGCCTTTCCATAAATACTTGGTGCACATACAAAAAGTAGTAAGCAGCTTACTACTACAGATCTTTCATGGTCTTGATTGCATGCCTTTAAGTTATGCTACCAGACTCCTTCACCTTCATTTCAACTCCATTATTCACTTTGACTTTAAGCAACCCATCTGCAGTCCCTATCTGCAGACCTCTTGACTTAAATACTGCCAGTACTTCAAATTGTGTGCTTTCTTATTTCCTTGTACATTCTAATCCTTTTTAAAAACCAAATCTTTCTTTCTGATGGTTGTCCCCGCCTTATTATTCATTGATAACACTCCAGATACCAAATTTCTAGGAGAATATTGTCGAAGTCCAGCCGAAACTATATGATTAAGAGGCCCAGGGAGAAATGGTCCGTGTTTTGCTGCCTTTGACAGCGACATTTTAAATAGTTCAGGTACTCCTCCTTCTGTCATGGATGTAATCAAGTGCCCTAACTACTTCAGGTAAATTATTGTTGGAAAGACTGAAGCATGAATTCAAATAATGTTTCTTAGAATAAAAACTCACAGTTGTTTGTCCTAACCTTGTAAGTCTCCCAGTTCCTGAAAAAGTTGACAGATCCATCCAAACGTCTCTGAATGACTGTCCAGCCACCAGGATCTTGCCGTTGATCACACCAGACCTGCATCAATCGGTTTGTATTTTCAGGTTTCACAAGATATATGGAACTGGTGTCATGACCATCTTCCAAAGCTTGCAGGCAGTCTCTCCAAGGACCTTGTTGAAAAAAGAAACAAGTCCATAACAAACATAGTTGCACATATTTCCAGTTCCACTTTCACTTCCAGATTAGAATTGATTTTTTCTTTCTTTGTGCTGTTTCATACACAGTCATACACAGAGGTAATTAGTTCACCAGACTGAGCATCCATATTTCTATGCAATGTGGACTGAAAAACAATTGTTCTAGAAAACTGTACTTCATAAAATAATTAAAGTTCCATTGAAAATTAGTTTAGATTACATAGGTGTAGGAGAAGATGCAGTATCCTATTGTGAGCCAGATTGGAGCAATATGACATTCTGTTGCTGAGAGTCCTTTATTTGTTTATATGTTGACAGTCTATAATGTGCTTTTCAGACTATTAAGTATGCCTGTCTGTGCAACCACAGAATAGAATGCATGACATATTGAGTAAAATCATGCTAGTCTTTTGATCTGTCAGCTTTGGATATATTTAATTAGCCTTGGTTGCTGTGGTCCTCTAAAGCATTTTGTTCATTAAAGTGCTGTAGTCAGCAATTGACTGATTATAAAATGTGAAACAGCACAATCCATTCTGCATGGGAGGATGGGGAAGTTCTTATTACTGAAAGCAGTTGTATCAATATGAGATGTTGCCTCTTCATTGCTAAACAGTTTCTTGGGTGGGGAGAATTGGCTCTGAGAACAGGGGTTGTGTGGTCTGTATTCAAAAGTTGAATCCCACTCAATCCTGAATATCCTTTCAATAGTAAAAGTTTCTCTCTTGTTGTAGTCCTTTCTGCAGGAATGGGCAAGCATCTTCACCACCAGAAGGATAAATTTTCAGGGACTCAACAGATTATCCTCTTATGTTGACTTAAGCAACATCATTTCACATCCTCTGTGTGCATAGAGCTATAATCTGTATGAGCCTTCTCCTGCTGAGAGGTACTCCCTGGCAGAATTAGGGAAGTGCACACCAACAATCCTGATGGGTCAGTTTTAGAAGTTTGGGTTGGGATGCAGGAGGTATTTTTCAAACTTCGATATTTTTCTGCAAATATTTGGGTTCTATTATCTGAAGAGATATTTTATCAACCTCCCTACCCTCACCACCCCAACCCATTTAGGTTACCAAGATGCCTAAACACAGACAACCCAGTTTAGAAGTAGGAAGATAAATTAGATGCTCTGCTATTTATTGGCCATCCCAAGTGAGGTGTTTTTTTGTTTTGTTTTTAAATCTAGTTTGCCTGTTTGGCATCCTGTTTGTGTGTTTGCTTGTTTCTCTTCTGAACTTTGAGCAGGAATTGTTTGGAAACAATTTTACTTTTTATGTTCAAACTCCAGCTCCTGTTTTCAAGAGGACCGGGAAAGGTGCAAAATGCACTGTAATGCAACACATCTCTTGAGTGCTCATCTGGGAAGCCTTTATTCTATTTAAGGCCACTTTGCATGTTGCAAGCTTCCTACTTTGGGACATCTGTGCAAGAAACTACTTGTCTACCAGACTGAACAGATGGCAGTTGGAACTTGATTAAAATAGTTTTTGTTTTGTTTTTACATCTAGTTAATATATATTTATTTAAAATGAGTAGCATGAAAACTTCTTATTGTTATGAATTGCTTACTATTTCATTTTCTTAGGGCAATAATGGAGGCATTAAGATGCAATTGCGCCAACCAACAGATAAACAGTGCATATGTCTTCCACACACACACACACACACACACACACACCCGCTCTTGAAACCTCCACAGAGACTGTTAAAGTTGTCTTTGGCTTCCTATGCTGTGAAAGGATTTTACAGCTGAACTGCTTGCCAGAAATAACATTGGCATGGGAATTGATAATGGTGTCAGCTATGTTGCAAGAGAGTCATAGACATTTGTATTTTCAGAAGAGAAACTAGATTTAACCTTGGGCATTTTGCGCAGGATCTGATGAATTTTATTTAGCATCCTGAGAATCTCAACAGGTTTTATGTGCAGAGATACAGGCACCCAAGCTGTTTTCAGACTAATCCCACAGCACAAGGCAAGTCAGAGCCCACACCTGTGATATGACAATGGCAAACCTTCGCTGCAGTGCAAACTATGCTGTATATTGCCTATCAAGGCCCTGCAGTGAGAGAGAGGCCGAAAGGCCCAGCATATCAGAAATTTAAACTTGCCCTGGGTGTTGTGCCAAGGGCCACAATTGGTCAGTTGGTCCCGTGCCCAGGGGAACAACCACTAATTCCTGCTGCCATTGGCCAATTTGGTGGCAGGAGGACGATCCGGCCTGCAATAGGGCAGTTCACAAGGAGGCCCGGGGCCCTCCCGCAAAACCAACCGCCTGTGAAAGGGCGAACAAACTTTCCAAACTACTGCATACCTCTATTGGGAATCTGTTCACCACTTTTGCACTACTTGAATTTGCTGGTGTTCCAGTGGACCTTGATTTTGGAAGAGTCTCACTTAAGTTAATCTGCACTGGTGCAATATTCAGTAAGGGATGCGGGTGGTGCTGTGGTCTAAACCAGTGTTTCCCAACCGGTGTTCCGCGGCACACTACTGTGCCGCGAGACGTTGCCTGGTGTGCCGTGGGAGGGAGGCGGGCGAGTCGCACGGCGTCTCGGCGTCGGGCGGCAGCGAGCCCAGGAAGCGGCCCAGCCGGCCGGGGTCGCCCGCCTGCAGCAGCGCCTCGCACCCGCACGAGACCTGCTCCGCCGAGAAGCGGGCGAGCGCGGAGGATCGGGCGCGGCGGAGGCCAGCCCCGCGCTTGGAGAGGACGCAGCAGCCGTCGCCAAACCCGATCCTCCTCCTCCTGCTCCGCCGCCGTCCTCTGGCTCTCGGCCGGGAGGAGCCTGCGGCGACGGGGCGGGCCCCGAAGTTGGCAGAAGTTGGCGCGCCTCCTCGGCAGCGCCTTCGTCCTCCTCCTCCTGCCTCTGCTCTCCTCCGGTGGCGGGGGCGCGCCGCCCTCCCCGGCCGGGGGGCTCGGCGGGGCCCGCGGGGAAGGAGGCCATGTTCGCGGCGCGCGGGATCGCGGCCCCCCTCGCCCGCCTCCGGCCCGCTCCCCTCCCCCTGCGCGCTGCCCTAGCCGTGCGGGTCTCCTCCCCCTGCGCCGCCGTCCCCTTTCCACATCCTAGGAGCCGCGGTCCGCCTACCGCCCCCGGGCCGCGGCGCGGCTCCCAGCCCGGGCTGGCCTCCGCCTCCTGGGACGCGCGCCCACCCCCGCGGCCCCCCAAACTTCGGAGCAACTCTCCAGACGCTTCTCCCCCGCCTCGGTCTCCCTCCTTTCCACTTCTCTTCCCCCCTTCCTTCCCTCTTTCTTTCTCTTTCTCTCCCACCCGCCTTTCCTTCTATTAACTTTCCTTTCCCCTCCCTTCGTCCTTCCTACTTTTACTCCTGGGCTCCTCCCCCCTTTGCGCAGCCACAAATCAATCTCTCTCTCTTTTTTCCCCTCTCTCTCTTCTTTGCTCAGACGCAAAAAAGCGCCGCTTTTTGGAAATCCGGACTGCTGTCCCCGCTGAAACGATACTTTAAAAAAGGAAGAACCCACTGGCTCTTATTTCTGTTTAAAGCAGTAGATCCCGAACTCTTTTGGCCCACTGCCCCCTTGGTTCCACATCCCCCAGTGTCCCCTATGCTTACTCTATAGAAAGCATTACAGGGGTTAACGCGGCTCGCTAAGGAAGATATTAATAGAATTCTGCATTTGGGGGGAGACCCTAACAGTCATCTACCATTACCTTCTATGCTGTTACTATTTTTTTATTTTTTTTTACATAAGTAAAAAGTGACCTTTCCCCATCTGGCATGGTGGTGTGCCTTGAGATTTTTTTCACGACACAAGTGTGCCTTTGCCCAAAAAAGGTTGGGAAACACTGGTCTAAACCACTGAGCCTCTTGGCCTTGCCAACAGGTCGACAGTTCGAATCTGCAAGATGGGGTGAGCTTCTGTTGCTCTGTCCCAGCTTCTGCCAACCTAGCAGTTCGAAAGCATACCAGCGCGAGTAGATAAATAGGTACCGCTGTGGCAGGAAGGTAAGTGGCGTTTCCGTGCGCTCTGGCACTCATCATGGTCCTCTGTGCACCAGTAGCGGTTTAGTCATGATGACCACATGACCCAGAAAGCTATCTGGACAAGCGCCGACTCCTTCACCCTGAAAAGTGAGATGAATGCTGCACCCCATAGTCACCTTTGACTGGACTTAACTCTCCAGGGGGTCCTTTACCTTTATATTAGTATCCACTATAATGTGCTTATAGTAAAGTAATACTGTGAATCTTGTATTTCAAGGCACCTAGAGGTATTTTTCTTCTCAGCTGTAGGACAGCTGTGTTCTACAGAATAATGAAGAAGTCGTTTTATTTTTTAAAAAAACTTATCTCCATGTTTGGGATAAATGTTAAAATATGTGCAACAGTATGCAGAGAATGATCTATGTAGGCTTTTATCAGAGATATTATAATGATATATTTCTTGGCAGCAAAAAATAGATGTCTCTATGGGTGGTTAATAAGATGCATGCTTATATCCATATGCCAGTCGAAATTTATAGAATCATAGTATCTTAGAGTTGGAAAGTACCCCAGGGGTCATCTAGTCCAATCCCCTGCAATGTAGGAATGTCAGCTAAAGCATCCATGACAGATGGCCATCCAACCTCTGCTTAAAAACCTCCAAGGAAGGAGATACCTAAACCTCCTGAGGGAGACTGTTCCACTGTCAAACTGCTCTTGCAGTCAGAAAGTTTTTCCTGATGTTTAGTTGTAATCTTCTTTCTTGTAATTTGAAGCCATTGGCTTGAGTCCTACCCTCCAGAACAGGAGATAACAAGATTATTACATCTTCCATGTGATTCCTTGCTTGTTCTTTTTAAAAAGCCACTTAAACCAGTTTGAGTTACTACATTTTTATAATTTGAAGCTTTAGCAAGTATTTATCACCCCCAAATCCTACAGATGTTGTGTTCTTAGAGTCCAAATGAACAGGAAAAATACAGATCCCCCCCTTGTTTGTTGTTGAAATTAGAATCAGTATTTT